GACCCATGGATTGCAAAAAGGGGAAAAATCCACCTTACTTTCTCTCAGAAAAACTCATTTCTGCTCTAGAGACCATGCGTACCCTCTGCTAGGGCCGTTGTACACGTATGCATGCAAAAATGTGCACTTTTATTTCGTGTCGGGACCCACAGGTTGAGAACTGCTGCCCTAGAGCTTATCTCCTTGCATATTTCTTTGTAACCAATTATTAATTTTGTTTGTTTCTTAAGTGGAGCAAGTTTGAATAACCTGTGTATGGATGGCTAACCTATTGTCTTACTCTGTTTGGGATAATACAACAAAAATAGACTGGGTGGCTTAAAACAACAATTTATTCGTTGTCACGGTTCTGGAGGCTGGGATGTTCAGGTCAAGGTGTCAGCCAGTGTCTGTGAGGACCTGCTTCCTGGTTCATAGAGGACCCACAGGTTGAGAACCGCTGCCCTAGAGGGTATTTCCTTGCATATTTTTTTGTAACCAATTATTAATTTTTTTTGTTTCTTAAGTGGAGCCAGTTTGAATAACCTGTGTATGGATGGCTAACCTATTGTCTTACTCTGTTTGGGATAATACAACAAAAATAGACTGGGTGGCTTAAAACAACAATTTATTCGTTGTCACGGTTCTGGAGGCTGGGATGTTCAGGTCAAGGTGTCAGCCAGTGTCTGTGAGGACCTGCTTCCTGGTTCATAGAGGGCCATCTACTCTCTGTGCCCTCACATGGCAAAAGTGTCCAGGGGGTGCTCGGAGATTTCTTTTCTAAGAGCACTAATCCATCTCATGACGGCTCTCTCCTTGTGGTCTCATCGTCTCTCAAAGTCCCACCTCCAAATTCCACCACATTGGGGATTAGGATTTCAACCTATGAAATTGGGGAGGGGATGTGAACATTCAGTTCATTGCACTTATACACCAGTTTAGACCACGCCAAAGGCTTGGGTATGCATGCCCTGGAGTCAGTGGTGCATGCATGTGTGTGTGTGTGTGTGTGGATGTGTGTTGCTCTGGGGCTTACCCTTCGTTGTCTCACTTCTTTCTGTTTAGTCTATGCTGAATTATCAAAGGGTTGAAATTCGAATAGTGTTTTCAGTAGTTATCCAATTGTCTAGTTTAGGAAGCCTTCAAAATAGAAAGCAGAGAATCAAGAAAAGAACTTTCTGTTTTTTCCCAGCAAGCCTCATCTTTCAGAATGGACTTCTAAAAATTCATAGTGAGCCCAGCCAGCGTGACTCAGTGGTTAAGCATTGACCCAGGAACCCATGGGTCACCCGTTAGATCCCCAGTCAATGCGCATTGGCTGGGTTAGGGGCTCCATCCCCAGCAGGGGGCATGCAGCCAATCGATGATGTTTCTCTCTCATCAATGTTTCTATCTCTATCCCCCCTCCCTTCCTCCCTCTCTAAAAATCAATAAAAACATAGTAAAAAAAATTGTAGTGAATATAATACACTTGGAAAGAGCAGGAAAGAATAAAGAAGAAATATCACCCAAAAGCCTACCTCACAGAGGCAAGCACAGGTAACCATCTGGCAAATTTTTTACAGTGTTTCCTTTTTTAGTTTATTATTTATTTTTTAATTGCACAAATGACATATAAACTGTTCTCAAGTTAATTTCTCATGATTGCAGTCTCCTTAAACATTAAGCTTTGATTGCCATTTCTGATACCAGTGCCTGCCCCTAACCTTTTCCTGCTTTTCACACATTGTTTTGTAGGTGTGACGGGGCCAAGCCAGTGGCAAAGGATGATTAGGCTCTAAGTGCGGGCCTGTGACCTGGGGGGTTTTATATACATAAATGTTTGCTCCTTTTGCCTGCCTTTGGCCCTTGTCTCTGTTGTTTGGTTTCCAGATATGTGAAGCCTAAGGAAGCGAAACTACCTGCTCTGTGGAGACAGGAAGAAGTCCTGGATCACCTGTGCCTAGCACAGTGCTTAGCAGAGAGGAGGCACCCAGCAAATATTAGCTGAGCACATGAATGAATGATAAAATATTTTAATTCAATTATTAATCTTGTCAAATTCTAAATATAAGAAAGCAGACCATGAAAGACTTGAACTTGTAACACCGTGTCAGAAACGTCCGTTAATAGTTACATTTTTTTTATAAGCCACTTCACCAAGAATCACCCTGCCTTTCCCATTCTTGTCTCTGCGATTTGTTGCCCTGCAGCACAGGAACCGGCTTTCTCAAGCTTACACCTGCAGCCGCTGCCCTGATTGCCCTCTCAGGGGACAGCCCTCTTACAAAATACAGAGGTAAGATCCACAGGAGTTTTGAGTGTCTGAAATTCAATGGCCTTCAAATCTCCAACACATTATTTTCCTCACCTGCTCCTATATCCTGGACACGTGGCTCTTGTTGGGCATATACTCAGCCCAACTTGGAATTTTTCAAGATGTTGATTTGTGCTTTCTACTTATTCATAACTTGGTTACCCTGGGTATTCATTTGTGTAGGGATAATTGACACCAGTGGTTATTATTACTCTAGCAGTGGTTCTCAACCTTCCTAATGCCGCGACCCTTTAATACAGTTCCTCATGTTGTGGTGACCCCCAACCATAAAATTATTTTCGTTGCTACTTCATAACTGTAATTTTGCTACTGTTATGAATCATAATGTAAATATCTGATATGCAGGATGTATTTTCAGGGGTCGCGACCCACAGGTTGAGAACCGCTGCAAGGCAGGGACGCTTCTCACATTGCTGTTTACCCACTTCCTGGTCTTCAACATCGATGTGCTGAATTAGCAAGGGGTTGAAATGCGAATTGGGTTTTCAGTAGTTATCAAATTATCTAGCTTAGAAACCTTCAAAATAGAAAGCAAAGAATCAAGAAGAGAAATTTTCATTTTTCCCCCTTCATACCCACAAATACACTGTTTAGAATTCAAAGCACATACTCTTCAAAAACACATTGCATGAATTTAATGTAAAGATCTTTTCTCCCTTATGTATCTAGCTCTTTTTCAGCTCTATGCAGAAAATAAAAGGGGAGGTTATGATGCCGGGGCACGTATGACCCGAAGGACTTTGAGAAACCTACTAACAGATCTACAGCAGGTAAGTCTCTAATATTTAATAATTTTGAATTTTTCCAGATGTTAGCCACATTATTAAAGAATCTGATTTTTAGTGTCCAGTTCACATTAATAGAAGTCTTCATGCAACTCCTCTCCCTACAGTCACTGCTACCGTCTGAGTATAGGTCTGATCTACTGCAATCACTTCCTAACTCCTTCCCGCAACTCAAGCCTCTCCTCTCTCCCACTCTGCCTCCACACGACCGCCAGCGACTCTTCCAAAATGCCTATGTCACCCTCATGCCTAAAACTCTTCATTGGCCATTCTTGTCTGTAGAATAAAGCCCAACCTTAGCATCACACCACCTTAAGCTAAACAATGAGAAAAGGTTCTGCACTTCTGAGTGGGGGAGGCAAGTTATGAGAAGGTGACCATGAAAAGTCTGGTGAACAAGGTTTGTTACTCAGGTTTAGCCTGTTCCTTCTCCACTAATAAGTGTTGTTAAGAGTTCTCTTCCTGGTAGGGAGAAGGAGATAACCTTTGGCACATGGAAGTTTCCTTTATCAATATACATTTTATTTACAAAAGGAAAATTTGTGCCCTATTTTTAGAGCTTTTCCTGCAATGATTGGTTCTCAGTAGCCTTTAGCTCAAATAACTTATATGCCAAAGAGGTATATTTTGAATGATATATTCTGCTACCCTTCAGGACCAGGGATTCTGAACTGGGGATAGTCATGTTGGGGGGGGGGGAGGTAGGTATGCAGGAAGGTTATTGAACTCTAGGACAGAGAATATGGTTAGGAAAAACCTATCCAAAATTACTTATCCAAAAATACCTCTTAATATTAATATTTTATGTTCTTATTGATCATAATAATGTTTAATTTATTCTGAAAATTCCAGTGTGTAAGATGTTCATATTTCTTAAAAGAATGCCATTTTTAATACATTAATAAGGTTAAAATATCAGACGTAGTTATTGCAGGGCTGTTCTGGTGGTTGTGGCAGCACATGGATCTCATCGCCAGTCTTCTGCTGACTCCCAGGCATGTCCCAGGGAGCTACTGCTTCAGCAAGCCTCACTTCTGGTGAGGAGCTGGTGGGGAGCCAGGGAGAGTGGGAACATTTGTCAAGTCATTTACACAATCAGACGTGTAAGCCTGGCATGTGGAGGTGGATGTGAGGGGAGAAGATGGACTAGGGGCCATTTTCCTTGTCCTGTAGAAATCCTGTGCTTGCCTCCTGACTACTAGAGCCAGCCTCAGGCTAACACCCTGTCCACCAGGCCATCAACATCTGCCCTGGTTTCAGCCTCATCTAAGGTCAATGAGCTGCTGAAATGGCAGCTCCCACAGAGCTGTCTCCCCCCAACACATTATTATGCTCCTGAGAAAGCTGCGAGGAAGGCGGAAATTTGCATAGCAAATTATCATCCCATTGAGTTCCATTAAGAACTCAGGGATGGAGTCCCCTCTAAAATTCCAGGCCCCACTCTGTGAGTCACATCCCTCCCCCAAGAATTCAAATGCTCATTTCAAGTGGCATTCTGCCTGTGCCAGCATGTCATCTAGTCATGTCCAATTCTTCCACAGAACACCTGCAAGAAATGAGTCTCGTGGATGGGCAATTCATCCACAGAATCTTTGTGCACACGCTTAAGGCAGCAATTTGGTTAAAACCCGGTGCTGAAGTGAATTTTCTTTTGACGTGTCAGAATCGCAGAGCTGGCAGGGCAATCCCATCCGAGACACTTCCCTTATTTCACAAATCAGGTTAACCAACCCCCTTTCCCAGGGCTCAAGGACAATGTCCAAACTAGTGGTCCAGTTAGTTCACCAGCATTCACGGGTTGGGTGATGCGCTGTTTTTTCAGACAAAGGCTAAAGAACGTAGGGAGGAGTTACTCATGTTCAGCTGGGGATGGGGTCATTATCCATTTAAAGTACAAGCCATCTTGTCACGACTGCACAAATGTTTGTTGACTTCTGCCTGGCTAATTGTCAGCCAAGTGGTTCTAAGTGCCACTTTCCTGATTAGAAGAATGTTTATTCGAGTTGATGGACTCAGCAGGGGGGTCTTCGAAATTACTTCTGATTTTGCAGGCAGTGCCTGCTGACAGCCTGTGCTGTTGAAGACGTCAGACCCAAAATTAGGACCCCCGACCAAATAGGCATAATAGAGGTGACAAGTCAACGTAAATGTGCATATAGATAGTGTCAGATCCAAGTCCCTGGCCATCTTGGCAGTCACAAGGGGTTCTTAGTCCCTTCGCTAAACTCGTTATGGTGAATGTGATTGAAAGATGGAAACCACGGAGTGCGTGTAGACTGAGCCATTGGAATACACATAAGGCTGCAGTGTGACAAAGCTTGGTGAGACCTCCTCAACAGAGTACGGAGTCCTGGAGAGAGATCTCAATTCTGTAGCTATTCCTTGCTCTGTTTAACCTTGAGCAAAATATCAAATCTCCATCAGCCCTTGCTTTAAACAAGAATAATGATTAGTGCCCTACCCCAGAATTTGGCATGTGTTAAAATGAGATGATATGAAGTGTTTAGAAAGGTTTTTTTAAAAAACTACTCTGAACTTTAATACAATATCGTTATATGTAATTCATAGGTAAACAAGGGCAAAAAAAAAAGGGTTAAAATAATTTGCCTGGGATCCTAAGAAACAATGGAAGCTGGCCCTATATTATTGCCCCAATGGCCAGACTTTCTTCTCACTCTCCTCCCTCCTCCCAGCTCCACTTCTTCCCACTTGTTCATCTGTTGTCTCTATTCACACGTTGCACAAACCCCAGACATTTCTTGTTTGCTTGGATGGAGACAGTGCATCCAATCTCCGACACCCAATTCTTGTGACTCCGTGGCTGTGAGCACCACCCAGCAGGCATGCCGATGTCAGTGTGCACAGATTTCTCCATGTTCTAACAGCTCACATGGGGTTTCTTGCCTCTTGCAGATCCCAACTGTCGTGGGTGAGAGCCGCTCTCTGTGCTCGGTGGAAAGTGCGACTCGCAGCTGCTTCCAGGGGGTGAGTGCCATGCACATGTCCCTGGGAGTGGGGGACAGATACCGCTTGCTGACCGATTTACATTACAGAACTATTACTCCGCACAGCACCCCAGGCAACTGAATGGAGCAGGTAGACTTGCCTGTGACAGTTCACGCAATGAGCTTTGACAGCAGAGCTCACAGAACCAGAACCAGAAAAGACAAAGAGAATATACATTTAATCTATATTAAATGGAGACCAAAGTCACTTCTAAAAACACATCAAAGTGTGCCCTTGTTTTTCAGGTGCTGAGTCCAGCAATCAAAGAGGAGAAATTCCTCTCTTGGTTGCAGTCTGAGCCGCCCATCCTCCTGTGGCTCCCGACCTGCTACCGATTGTCAGCCACTGAGATGGCCACGCATCCTGCTCGGTGTGGAATCTGCAGGAACTTCCCAATCACAGGACTGAGGTACAGTCGCTCACCAATCACACATGGACATAATGTCAGATCCAAGTCATTCTCCAAATCAGTCTGGAGCTGGAGCTGTGTCTCTCCAGATTCTCTTGTGGTTTCTTCTGACACATCTGAAACTCAGTTGATTTGAGGGAGTCAATATTTCCTGAATGAGGGATCCTGGTTGATAATAAGTATTTTATCTTCTGTAATTAATGGAATGTTAAATTCTTCCATTGATATATACTCTGACCATACACATTTTTATTCCTCTAAGGCCGTGGTCGGCAAACTGCAGCTTGCAAGCCTCATGCGGCTCTTTGGCCTCTTGACTGTGGCTCTTCCTAAGCCTTAGGAGGACCCTAATTAAGTTAATAACAATGTACCTACTATTGTTGGTGCTCTTGTCCCACTTCTGGCATCCATTTATGCTGGGGTTTATGTTCCAGCATCAAGAAGGGTTCAGGAATCCGGAAAAGGGGCTGCGCGTAGATGACGTAGAAATCCAGAGACTAATAAAGAGTCCAGAGATGAGATATAATTTTGAAAGGCATTGGGGGTCAGAGGACCTTCAGCTAAAGGAACTGAAGACTCTCTCCTTGTCTAGGACCCTTGCTTTTATTAACACAATTTGTCCTAAGGCAAGGTGGA